AAATAAAAATAATAATAATAAAAAAATTGTAACATAGTATATCTTAAAAGACATTATGAGGGGCAGCCATTCCACGTCAAAAGCCTAAGCCAGCATGGATGAAGAAATGCTTGGCTATATGGGGAGCTGTAAGTTGAAGAATGTCTCCCATCCCATCAGGTAACTCAGGGAGGCACTATAATGGAAGATCAATGCTCAGTCATGGAAGAAGGAAACCCAGCACACCAAAAAGAAGAGGCAATATGGGTGTGGAGAGCATGTAAGGGTTTTTCATTTATTATTTTCACATTAGCTATGTGTTACTAAGAAAAGTAACTAGTATAAGTCAAGCACTTAATAAATGATGATATATTACCCCAGAACAAATCTGCTACAGTTATTTAAGAGGTAGTCATAAGATATATATATATATTTATATGTATGAAATATTTTAATTCTGGACATACAAATGACAACCCATAGCAATGCATGTTGTCTATCTGCAGTGGTTGGCGTCGTGTGAAGTCAGTTTACAAAGTGAAGTTAAGGGTAGTTTACCATCTTGGATCTTTTTGAGGGATGTGCTAACTGCTTTGGACACTTCTGTCCTCCTTTTCTCAGGCATGCTCTCCAGGCTCAGATGTCTTGTTTCTTACAGGTGAAAATTACTGTTTCGTATTAATCTTTTTTTAAAAAAAATTATTATTTTCTGATAGCAGTATGTTTAGAAAGACATATACCACCAGCTGTTAGCACCTGTAGCACTTCAGCGCTTCTCCAACGTTCCCATCAGAACATGACTGCAGCCGCTCTGGAGCTGCAGCATGATGGCTGGGGCCAGGAAAGCTTTCTCATGGAAACTGCTGCACTTTTGCTACCTCTCTCTTCACCTCCTGGTTGGAACCAGATAGAAAAGCGAAGATATTCTTACTGTGCTTGGTAGTTATAATTTTTCTTTCTTCTTCCCTAGTGGAAATACTCAAGCCTGTGTTTTTCTCAGTTTTTCAGGACAGGACATGCTTGCATTTCACTCCTCAAGCAGTGCACAACCGGAAATATAAAGATTTTACCATTTTTTTCTGTTCATTTCACAGATGTTGCGAAGGGAGGAAGGACTCCAGAAATCTTAGGACAAAAGTGTCTCTTGGGAGCTTTCCTGTACAAATTTTAATATAAAGGAGCTCTTCTTTCCCACAAAATGACAGAGGCAGAGGAACTTTAAAGCTTGTGAATCACAATGCATGTGCAAAATATGCCAGATGTGCAGCAGCTCGCACAGGAAGGGTCCTTTGTTCTGCAGATCCACAGCAGGCCCAGAAAGTGGTGCAGGATTTAATAGAATTTCCCTGTACCAGAGATGGAGGTGTTGCAGGGCTGGAGGTAGAGAGGGCACCCATGGTCACTGCCGGTCACAGAGTTCCCCAGTTGTCTCAGATGTCCCTCTGCACCCGTGTCCCACCAGCTCCTTTGCTCCCCCTTGGTGGCACACCAAGACCAGCAATCCTCAACGGATGGCTGCAAAGGAGTGTGACATTCCTTACACTCAAGTGTTTCACATCTTTTTCCTTTTCCTTTTCCTTTTCTTTTTCCTTTTCTTTTTCTTTTGAAATTTGACTTTGCACAGAGGGAGAAATTGGGAGTTTTCATCACAAAGGCAATAAGTTAAAAAACAGTGAAGTCCCTATGAAACATTATAACTTTGCTGTCCTTGGACTAAGTACTCAGTGTTCCTGTTGCTTTGGTTAGGAAAAGTTCATTTGACTGGAGGCAAAGGGTGGGGAGGGAGGGGGATAATTTTCTGCAGAAGTCAGGAAGCTCAGCTGAATTATGTTTGAGTTAGAGCTCATTTAAAAAAACATAATCGGAAATGCTGGCCTGTCTCAGTTTTTCATTTAGGCTCCCACTCAACAGTGACTTATTAATACCAGTTTAATTTCCACAGTTCGATAGAACCCTTTCAGAACTAGGATGGAAAATTTAGGATTTTTGCATCAAGTAAACTGAATTTAAACAAAAGACTGTCTAGTGATGAGTGCATGAAAGACTGACAGAGAGACCTAGTAATGCTTTCTAAAGGTTTGTGATTGCTAACAAACAGAAGAAACATTTTTCAGGATTCCAACTTAAAATGTACCACAGTTGCAGAGGCTCTAAGAGAGGTTCCCAGTGATCCTGCATGGATCTGCAAGCGGAAGGGACATGTTTGAGCAGTTCTATGTCCTATGGGCTCATCAGCTGGTGTCTGTGTTGGCTCTGAGATCCCTGTGTTCAAGAGTCAGCAGAGTCCTTGGGCTTTTCTGCATGTACACCCCTACTGTATTACGGTCTAAATTACACACATTTTGAATACCCCATGGCTGTACTTTCTCCTGCAAAAGAGAATGTGACTTTAATTATTCACTATAAATTTGCAATATACTTTCGGCTGGGAGATGAGGCTGCGCTTGGAGTGAGTGAGTTTTAGGCTTTAGGCTTACAGCGACGCATGATTTATTCTGTAATTGTGTGGTTTATATGTGCTCGCATATCTATTGCACAGTGCCTTTAAAAATGATTATGGTTTGCCGTTTTGACTAGTGTCTCATTTTAATTGAATCCCTTCTGGACAGACAAGAGCTGGGGAGTCTTTGGAGCTACTTAGCTGAACATTA